CCTATTGTAAAATCTGTATTATTGAATCATGCAGTTATATAAATTGGTTAAGCATAACACAAAGTTGTTTAAATTCTTCACATCGGCACTATATTTTGATAATTAAATGTGTATTAAATAGCCTATATCTCTCTCTTATTAAATTAATGTTGATATGTCTGTATACCTCAACCTTAAAAAACAAATCAAACCATAATTTTCTCGAGCTGCCGCCGCCATTGTTTCTGCTCGACTTGCTGCCAAGAGACCCGCACTTAACTGACTCTGACTGGCCCTGAACCTGACGGTATTAATTAAACCAACAATGGCAGCAAATATTGCCCAATCAGGTGTAGAAAAGGAGAAGTATTCACAAAATGTGGGTGGGATGATTTGCATGGGATGCTGCATTACAGACAACTCAGAAATACGGGACACACCGCGTCCCGTATTGATTCAAAATGGGAAGCGCTATTTAGTTCTCAAACCCGGCACATTTCTGTATTTTAAGGGACGGGTGGCAACCCTAGGCCCCACTGTGCTGAAAGTCTAGCTCTGCCTCTAAACACACCACTTTGTGGTCAAAGTTGTTTAATTCAGGCCGGGAATTTGACTCCATTCCAGGCCACCCTCTCAAAAGCTGCTGTATATTCTTTCAGTTGGGCTCATGACACCAAGAAAGCTTAGTGTGTTCAGCATCCCAGAACCACCCCATCTTTACCTGCACCCACACACTCAACACATTTACATTACATTAACTCATTTGGCAGACGCTTTTATCCAAAGCGACTCACATTTGAGAAACAACATACAAGCATCAAATACAGCACGAGATCTACAACTGACAACACATTCTAGTAAGAGCAGCAATAAATACTAGTAAGAGTTAATAGCACATATGGTGCAATCAATACAAGATAATTGTACGGGATAGAAGAAGAGCACAGGAAGTACATGTTAGAGGTTAGAGGTGTTATAAGAGGAAGTGTTATATGATATACAGTGAACAACAACACAGCAAAGTAACTAATGTTAGCTAGGTTGTGGATAAGCAAATTGCCACTACTTGCTGCTGCAAAGGTAACATAAGAGGAGGAGACAGTCACAGAGCAGCACAGCAGCAGACTGTGATACTTTTAACTCTCCTGCTGCTAGAGCCAACATCACAACAGCAGCATGTCTTGGTGAACTTTGAAATTTGAATTAATTCTGTAGGAGGAGTTTGTTAAAGTACGCACCCTGTAAATGAGGAAAAATTAGTTAGAATTGCACATTCAATTCAAAATGGCTGACTTGAGTTTAGGGTAATAGGTTCTTGAGGCTTTTTTTGTGTCTTTATATGATACATGTCCCCCAAAAATTCCATGCATGTAGGTTAAAACGTAGTGGGAGCAAATTTTTTCCACTTTTTAGATGGCGCTAGCGAGCCATTTTGCCACACCCATGTGCAGGACCCGTAAGTTTTTGCCACTCATGACACGGGTGCAAAGTTTGGTGAGTTTTTGAGCATGTTTAAGTCCCCAAAAACAAGCTTACTTAGCAGAAAAAAAGAAAAAGAAAAATAATTCCTTCAGTTCCAAGAGGGAACACGTATGTTTCATACTGGGGAAATGAAAAAGTGTCCGTAGATTAGTGATGAACGTCTACGCTGAGACTCAGATTGGCCAAACAACAAGAAATCAGAGACTGTTATGCCCACATCATTACAGATAGCTGCTCCATCAACATCTTGGATTAAGCATTAGCTAGGCAGACCATGTTCCAAGCTGACAGAGTGCAGCACTCTGGCAAGATAAAAGGAGGCAGAGCCTTGCTGCTTGGTGCTGAAACACAGTCAAAGTGGATGGACACCTTTTCCCAAATGTCAGACTTTTTATGTGAAGTTAAAAATCATATTATCTGTGATGATTGAGGACAGAACGGACCCAAACGCAACGCTTCAGGTTTCTAAAGAGGTTTATTGAGGGGAAAAGGGGATGAAGAGGGGCTGGAGAAAGGGGGAAGGATGGACAGCCGGGCTCCGGAGCGGAGAGGGAGAGAGCACACAGAGGGAGAGAGAGGAGACACAGGAGAAACCAGGATGCGAAGGAGGAAAGGAAACACAGGGCACTCACCAACAGCTGGGCTGCCACCGCAACAGGGGTTCACTATCTTACAGCTGTTTAAGATGTCTATGAAGATTCTCAGTCATCCAGGTCATAGTTATCCAACGAAGGTTAAAATCAAGGGCAACTGGACTTGGTTGGAGATACTGGAAGACGTTTCGTCCCTCATCCAAAGGACTTCTTCAGTTCTGACTGACTGGCAGGAAACTCAGCTATTTAACTTCAGTTTGTTAGTGTTGCTAAGTGTTGTTAGTCGTTAAGACTACCTGTGGCCAAGACTGAACGACCATCGTTGGTATCTTCACCTGAGGCCAATAGGTTACGTTTGTTGAGTTTCTTGGTAAGTGATGAAAGGACAGCATTGTAAGTGGGGGATAAGTGGTGGCGTAGACCCCCTCCTCTGTTCAGCGATGGCTTCTCAACCCTGCTGTAGATGCTTCCTTGACACCTCTTTCAAACCATCCATCTTCTCTGTCTAAAATGTGCACCTGGTGATCCTCAAACAAGAGTCCTTTGTCCTTCAAATCTAAGTAAACTGCTGAGTCTTGACCTGAGGAGTTGGCCCTTCTGTGTTGAGCCATGCGTTTGTGTAGTGGTTGTTTAGTTTCCCCAATATACAGATCTGTGCTTTCCTCACTGCATTGGACCGCATACACTAGATTGCTTTTCTTGTGTTTGGATGTGCGGTCTTTGGGGTGTACCAGCATCTGTCTTAACGTGTTCTTGGGCGTCTTAGCGTGTTCTTGGGTTTAAAAAAACACATGGTTGCTGTGTTTGTTGAGTTTCTCTGATACTCAAGACACGTATGGAATCACAATGTTGTTGCGTTTGACCTTCTTTTCCTCCTCCCCTGTAGTTTTGTTCCTCTTGGATCTTGTGGCTGTTTTCACAAAGGTCCATTTATAGGGTATCCACAGGCTGTAAGTGCTCCCTTCAGGTGGTTCTGTTCCTTCTCTCTGGCTTGGTAGCTCGTTGGTATGTTCTCCACTCTGTGGTGCAGGGTGGGTCTTGGGAATCAAACAGTATGTATTGGTCTTTGTGTGTTGGTTTTCTGTATACTCCAATTTGCAGGCTCCTGTCCTCTTCAATATGTACAGCACAGTCCAGGAAGGCCAAGCTGTTGTGGACATTTTATCGTGTGAACTTGATTCACAAAGTTGATGTGTTCTGTGAAGGCTCATAAGCGGAGGCAACGTGGGTGCATGGGGGCGGCCGACCCAGGGCCCACTCTGGTAGGGGGCCCAATATGTGGAGTATTAAGTTTAGCTCAGCTGATTATAGTGGACACGAATAAACAACAACGGTATATAAGCTGGACCGGAAAAATTCAGCAGCTCTTATCAAATGGAAAAGACCCTTCACTCATGGTTTCAATGGTAAACCACCAAGACTGACAATTACCAACAAACACACTAGATTCTAAGGAGACACGTTTTAATAAACATAAATCATGCATTTGTATTTCAAATATATGGCAAACTTATTAGCACATTTTAACAAAACTCCCTTCACCCTAATGCATCATGGGAATTCTGAGGGAGGGGTGTAGGCTGCGTGTGCGGAGTGGGTTCTTTACAAGTCAACTTCCACTGGAAGCCTCTCAGGAGCATTTCAGCAGCAAAGCGTGTTGCATGCGCCACGTTAATGACTTGTTTTTAATTGTCCTTTTTGTGCTTCTTCTACATTCTTCAAAGCTCTCTGTAGATTGCTTCTCGTCTTGATGGGTGCATCTAGCAACTACCACAGGGATTTTTCTTTTTTGTCTGATTTAACTGTGTTTATTGTTGATTTACGATCGGAAGTCTGTAACGGTATTTTATTTTGAAAATTGACCATTTCTTTGCCGTTTCTGTGTCTGACTTTTTCTGCGCTGTGCTGTTTGACGCTGGGACACTTCCTGGATGCACTCAGTCTATGGACGCACTGCAGCGCTTCTGGTGTAAGCACAAATATTTAGTAGAAAGGCTGCTCCGGCAGTAGCGAAGCATACAGACTCTGTGGACTTTCGGAGTGACTCTGGGGTCATGTAAACTTGGTTCATATGTCTTTGTAGCAGGTGGCCCCATGATGAAGCCCCGCCCCCACTGTGCTGACAGTGTAGCGCCACCCCCGCTTGCACTTCCTGGGTTTTAATTTTGACCCAGCTCGGTGCTGTTCCTCTGAAGGAGTTGAGGGCTTTGCTCTCCACTTCTTCCATGTAGATGTTGGCCACAATAGGAGATACCAGTGAGCCCATGGCACAGCCATGCTTCTGTCTGTAGAATCCTCCATTTTGCTGGAAGTAGGTGTTGTTTAGACAGAGTAATTTACAGATCTGGTCAGGGCTGACACTGGTTCTGTTGTCCAGGTTGTTGTCGTGTTGTAGCCGTCTCCTTACGGTTTCTACTGCCTCCATGCTTCCTTCACATTATGCATTATGTTACAATGCGTTATGTAGGAAGATACTATATTATTGTAAGGGCTTTGTGGAAACCATAACCATTTTTTAGTTTGGGGTTTTGAGGTCACACTGTCAAATACTGTTGAAGGCCATGAAAACAACATTTCAGTTTGAGTTTTACGACACATAGGTCATTTTGGTTCAAATATTTTATGTGATCCTGCTACAATACCATACAGTGTTGGGCAATTGTTTTTTTTCTTTTCAGGTACATCTTTAAAAAACATTAAAAAAAAACAATTTCTCCAGCACATGCTATTAACTGACAGCTGGAATATCAAAGAGGAACTGAACTCAACAGGTAGTTGTTGGAGACATTACACATCTATCAGCACTTTCCAGGAAACAGATCAATTAGCAGGGAGGATAAATGGAGGATGAAGTGAAAGAAAAAAGGGGAGAAAGACATTAACAAATGTCACAGAGAAAAGCAGTGAAATGCATTTAGCACATAAACAGAAACAATTAAAAAAAAATCATTTCAAGTCCATTTTATAAAGCTTCTGCTGGAGCAGGAGAGGCACGTGTACAATAAAGATTCTCTTTTCATGACAAGCACCAAATGTACTGACATGCATGCACAAAGCAGACACAAAACCCTTGAGCAGCCACCAAGTGTAGCCCTTCGCAGTCACACAATAGTTCATTGTATAAGATTAAGTAAAAGTTTATTTAAACTTAATGTCACTTTTGATTTGTAATAAAACAGTATGTGCTACTGACAATGGTTTTGGCCTTGCCAGGTTGCAAGACTTGCTTACAAGCAGTAATAATAGCAAATGAATCCACAGATCAAATTCAAAATGTCTGTTCACACATGTCCCGAGAAGTGATCAATATCTTCATTTCATTTTACAAATACAAAATAAACTGCATACATTCCTTTTTGTTCAATTGGCAGCTGTAGCCAGTAAGTTTGTCCGCACAAAATGCAATATTCTTCACAAAGACTGTACAAGCAAGCACATTAGGTCACCACGACACAGAATTTGTCCATAAAAAGGATTCATCACAAGGATGTATCCTCCGCTCACATGACAGATACTGCTGAAATCGTAATTAACAAGAGGGTTAGAAACTCCTGTAAATGGCTGTAAATTACATTTTCTATGTAGCTTTGGAATATGTGGAGAAAATTAAATATAGTAATATAGCCTATGTTTAAATTCAGTTCAATTCATGAGTTTTATTCTACAGCTATCATGCTGCTAGTACCTTTTAGTTTTTCCTGACCACCTGTTTCACCCAGTTTATAATTGTTGTTGTATATTTTTTTGTATAGTGTTTTTGTGTGCTTTTTTTCTACACATTTTATTTCAGAGGGCAAGAGACAGAATAATTGAAAAGTAGCTTATGTCACTGTTTTACTACTTCAGCCAGACCCTCGATTCATTCGAGTCAGTACCAATTTCCAGAGGCTATGATTGATCTGAAACCAAGTGTGGTTTTATAATTTGCAAACTTTTTAATTTGCTTTAAATTGCATTGTTTGTGCTTCTCCTGTGTGGTCAATACCATTTGGAAAGAAACATCCACTCACTTCTCCGTTGCAGTATGAGTACATGATGGACACAAAGAAATCCTGAAAGGAAGAGATTGACAAAGCCTAACCCAGTTTATAATTATTGTTGTATTGTATATTTCACAAGTGTTTCTGTGTGATTTGTTTCTGCTTATTATTATCCTCACTTCACCCCTGCACTTTACTGAAAATATTGAAATAAATTTCCATAAGATGTGATGTCCACCACAATCCAAGCAACAGCATATTTTGCATTAATAGCAATAGAGGGCACTATGGTATAACCCTCCCTGAGAAGTTTATTCCAATGCTGCTACCTAGCAATCAACTTCATAACTGTATAGCTGTGATTTTATATTACTTTTTTTTAATAAGTACATATGGGAGGGGGTCCATGATATTTTTCTTGTACACACAGTGAAACCTTAGCCTTTGATACCATCTTTAGAGTTTTGTTTACATGAGACTGGATTCAGTTAGCACAGATCCACCTACAAACTTTTCCATCACTCTCTACCACATGTTTTAACATTTGGACGGCTGCTACAGTGTTTCCTCCTCATCCTCAGCTGTTGCACTGGTACTAAGAACAGGCAGATTTTCCTTCAGCGAGATGTCGTCCACCCGCTTGGGGCCGCTGTCCTCAGGTTCTTCAGGTATTGATGGGTCCGAGTTACTGATCACGTAACCTGGGAGGGTGGAGTGCATGCTGATCACGGGGGGACATGTGCTCCGGCAAGCACGGCTTGAAACGAGCGTCGTGGAGCGTGTGGAAGGGCCACCCCCCTGCCAGGTGGGACTGGCTGCTGGTGCTGTTGTTGTTGATACCGACGACGACGGAGCCGTAATGGTAGCGGCCGCAGACCACTGGGCCCTCCCACTCAAAGGCCAGGTTCCAGCGTGTCCATGTTTTCTTTATCTCTGTCTGGACCTGTAGGGATGGGAATAAATAGCACTCTGTGTTATAACATTATCACAGGGTGCAGAAGAGGAGTCTTATTAAGATGTTTTATTGCAAATATCTGGGCTATCCTGATTTGATATACAGACTCATTTTCTAAACAGGGTAATTCTGTTTTCATATATTACTAAACAATTGCCTCAGTAAACGCAGGGCAACAAAAGCATCCCACTGGAGTCGTGTTTTTGGCCGTAAATCCAATATTCACTCGACGTCTAGCTCTGCTTTGGTCTCCACCAACTCACTAGATGTTTAACTTGCTAGATCTTCACCAGCATCATGTGTATTTTGTTCTCGCCACTGGCATGTAGCAAACAGCTTGTTTGCTGGGCCCAGTTGCCTACTGTTTTCAACATGGCAAGATTCAATATGTCCTCTACATGTAGGTCAAATTTTTAAAGCAGTGCATTAGCAGCTCTGAGCTGCTTAGAGCTATAGAGTATGGTGTTAGTCCTAGGTCTTGGCTGAGACCCTTTCACATTACATTTCATTTGGCTCAGTGTTAATAACAAAATTAGATTCAACCAACAAAAAAAAATATGGATCATAAAAAGCAAGAGAGAAAAGGCATGAAAAACAAGATTTTTGTGAAGATAAAACTGGCGGAGGGGCAGTTCTGATGGAGGGAGGGAGACAAAAAAGAGAATGATATCATGACAGCACTTTTCATCACATTTCATTTCAGAGGGCGAGACACTCAATTTCAGCCATACTCTCCATTATATTTGGCACTGGAGTACTTCTACCATTTTCAGTGTCTATGAGTTATTTGAAACCAAACAAAAGCGTCATATTATGCTCAGGTTCAAAAACCTATTTAGGGGTTGTACCAGAACATGTTTACATGGTTTCATTTTCAAAAAAACACCATATTTTTGTCATACTGCACATTGCTGCAGCTCCTCTTTTCACCTGTGTGTTGAACGCTTTGTTTTATCCACATAGTGAGGCATCATACTTGTATAAAGTCTTTGTTGGGAGTTGCACATGTGAAGGTCCTAGGTGAGGACTACTACCCAATCAGAAGCAGAGTAGGGTGGGTCGTGAGAAGCCGGTAAACACGGCTTTGGTTCAGCTGTATATCCCCTTACCAGCTTAGCATCATGGACTGGAGCAAGCGTTTCAGAGTGGTGAGCTAATACTTTGTAATAAAAATATCTTTCATCCATAAAGTTTTAATGTTTGGAAGGGAGATGAGAGGCAGCAGGTGGACGTCTTTGCACTGTGAGTGTTTTTCCACTGTTGTTTTTGAGGCCGTGCCTGACTAGCATATTTTGCTGTGACGTCGGCACAAAGCGGACTACAAACGAGCTGTTTTTCAGGCAGTTCAGAGCAGTGTTTTCTGTGGGAGATTTGTCCCTTTGTAACTTTGGGGTGGACTTTGGGCTTTTTCACTTTGCAAACCTATTACATGTACAAAAAAGGGTATAACTAAATAAAGGAGAGGGAAAAGCCAAAAAGCATAATACAACAATCCACTCACCTCTCCGTTGCAGTAGCAATAGATAATGGACACAAAGAAACCCTGAAAAGAAGAGATATAGATAGACAAGTTGTGAGCTCAGATCACAGTGGGAGCCAAGTCAATGCAAATGCTATCTACTACCAAATGAATGTGATACGGATGATCCAGGTCACCAACTATCTCTTTGCTTCAAACAGTGCTTATGTACTGAAAAAAGAAAAGACAGAATTCTCTCTGGGTGTTTCTGCTCTGACCTGTTCCACCCTGTGTTCCTCTTTCCTGCTACAATAAGAATTTAAAGGAGAAACAAACACTGTCTTTGTGAAAGTAATGGATTGATGGTAAGATAACAAGTGGAGTCTGGAAAGAGGAACAGTCCTCAGAAAAGTTCACCTTATAGTAAGAATGTCGCTACTCAATTTTCATGTAATTCCCCAACTGGTTCTAGTAAAGTTTTAAATGTACAAAACAACCAAATATTCATATAAAGTAGTGATTGAAAACAAGCTGTCAAAAAAGGTTACTGATTAAAGTAAAATCATTAGTATAAAAAGGGCTGTCTAAGAAAACCTGCCTAGATTCAAATAACTGTAGTATAAAATTAAAAATCACTGCGCACAGGCTGATTTTACCTGAAAACCAAATGCAAGTCTTGACCCTCAAAAAGCCCATTAAACGCGTGGGGCCCAGCATTTTGGTCCTCACAAAGTTGTCGGAAAGGTGGAGTGCAATCCTGTTTTTTTTTTTTGACCCCATGGATACAGAATAAAATTCAGTTCCTATTGTGAATGCTAGATGGAACTATTCCAATATGTGAACATCAATCACAGGAAGCACTCTTCGCCAGAGCTACCCAGCATGAGTACCATGATCTCATCCAATAAAGAGCACTTTATCAGCGGGAGTTCGGGCTTTTGCTGGCTTAGACGTGTAACAGTTCTGAAGCGCATGTGAAATTTGCAGTTTTTTTGAAAGGAAAAGGTCACAGTCTCGTTGAACTGAGCAATCCTGAGCGGTTGACAGGCCTTGCTTTTTTAGTTGATCTCACTGTCCATCTGAACACATAAGTGTGGGCTTGTGTCGCAAATGTATGCACACATAAAATCATTTGCTGTGAAGCTTGGACTTTATGGGAGACAAACCAGTGACAGCAATGCTGCACACTTCCCATCTATGTAGAAAATGATCTCCAGTCTCACAGTAAATATCTTACTGTGCTCACATCACAGATAACAGAATTCAACCAGTGCTTTCAAGATCTCGCTGCCAGTGACAAAGACATGAAACTGTTCTCAAAGCCTTTCTCTGTTGGTGTGGAGGGAGCAGAGGAAGACATGCGGTTCAAGCTTAGTGAAAGGCAATGTGATTATAATCTCCACCAGCAGCTCTCACTGGAAAGTGTGTTTGGAAAGTCCAGATTTCCCCAGTTGAAGTGCCAGAATGATGCTCAGTTCATATAGCTTAGATATGTTAACAAAGTACTTCAAATCTCTAAGCAGATTCATCTGCGCCTGTTGACTGAACCTACTATAGTCTGAATTGTGTGATGCAGTACAGTGTCTTTAGATTTTATTTCTATTAACATCTCTCCCATAACCTGGGTCTTACTTGTGTTGTAAAGCCTTGATTCCATGTTTCTGGCCCTCCATCCGTTTTGACTTCTTCCTTTTCTATTCAAAGTTTGCAGGAGCACCAGCCTCCCAAAGTACATCGTCTTACTGGACACTGTTGTGGGTCCTCTTCCATTTGATTTAGGGTTCCAAGTCAAAGTGGATTCGCAAAGCTATGGACAACTACAACTTTCCAATTATTCCAACTATTTTTGATTAAATTTGAGCTGTTTTACAAACCTCGGGAGCGTGTCACAAAACAAGTTCAGTATGGTTCATATTTATTAAATGTAAGTTATAAGACGTCATAGCAATACATACTAAGAACAGTAGATAAAAACACACATAGAGTTAATATATAGACCTAATTGTATACAGTTAAGATCCATGTTATTTTCACACAGGTGCCAGGCCTTTTTCACAAGTCCCATCCCGTGTTTTTGCAATTGCAACTGTTTGGTAATAATGTGGTCTGTGGTGGATGGAGTGACGCAGATACGGATTATTTTGGCACATCAGGTGGTGCAGTGCAATGTTGGCATTTGTTTTGGCAATGAAATTGTGCTTTTGTTGTGCCTCTGGCCACCATCACAAATGTGAGCACAGTCATTTTTTTTGGCTTTTGCTGGAAGAAGCACGCACAGTCCTCTCCAAAATCCTTTTCTGCGTGTTTATTGAGTGTCTTTTACTCTGATAAAATAAAACTGATATGATAATATTGCTTGAGGAAGTTCTCTTTTGGTTTATTAAATACCTCTTGCTGTCAGATTTCAGTAAGAATGATATGCACTCCAACCGAAGTCTCTAATTTAAGGTATTTGCTGCACATAATAATCCATGGGTCACACATTTTGGTATCATTAATTAATAAGATAAATCTTTCTGCAGGCATCTGACAAGACAGGAAACTCAAATTTCACACACGCTAAACTGGTATACTGTTCCATAAGTCTTTCAAAACTTATTTACAGTCATCTCATTTAGTCTATATATTTATTTTGATGAAATAATTCAATTTGAGTTACTCCTCCTGTTTGTGAACAGCAGGTTTTGTGAATGATACTATTAATCCATACTATCTTAGGATCCATTATGAAGAGTGACTCAGCTTTTCCTCAAAGAAGATGATGGCTCTTTTGGTTAATTTCAAGCTTTCTTTGTGTAATCCACTGCTCCTGCTTGGTGCGACAGACCACTGCTCATTTTGCTTGCTCTGATGGACTGATAAGGACAGATAAAATGTAATCCAGGTGGCACTAAGTTGTTTTTGCTAATCACACTGATATTCAGAGAGGTTTTAAGACCAGTCACAGCAAGTCCACCTTTACATCATTAAGTGAGGTGCTCTATGTAATTTGTTTAATATGTGTTCAATATTTTATGTATATATTATATCTGACACAGATTCCAGATACCCAAATGTAAACATATTTCAAATCAACTAATCATCCCCTTTACCACCATGGAGAGCCCAACATTGAGGTGTGCTTTAAACAGCAAAATCAGCACACTTGATATTATAGGTTGCTTGAGAAATGCATTGCAATTTTGTGTGTTTGTTCAAACCTTTTAAGACTGATCATTACTGGGAAATGGGGCCATGGTAA